GACTGTTCCTTTGTGTGAGTGTCTATCGTTAGTTGGACAGACACAATTCTACTTCTGAATTGTCCATGCTCCATAGCGCAGAATTCACCACATCATACTTAATTTTCCAAACTAAAATTGAAAGCTAAATTCTAGGAAGCTAATTTACCTCCTGTCATAGCTAATGACAAAAAGAAACAACTAGTCGATCTGTTTCCTCAAGAGGCCTGGCAACTCGCCAGGTAGTGGAAATAAAGGAGAGACACTTTATATCTGGAGTCCCAGTAACTTCTTCTAGTAGACTTAGCATAAAAACTTAATAGGATTTTACACTCGCGCAACCTCCTTAAGATCAAGTTCCAATATAGTTCATCCCATCACTCATTGCATTGGGAAGGATTAAAGAGTCTGAGAGAAGTTTGCCAGCAAATTTGTTCTGATCAACGTTATTTAATCTTCACGTTGATGCAGTTGAGAACGACCGTATGGACTCATCCAAATTAGTCATTTATGAAATCGTATCAATCACAGAACCACTGCACCGTCATATAAGAGCACATTGTATGTAATCTGGCGAATAATCTAATAACATAAAGATAAAAACTCTCAACCGCCAATCATGATACCCATAGCCATAGGATCACTATTATGTCTATTCACATATTTCAATTTAGTAGGACTTCAACATCTGCATACCGCTTTTTTTTTTTTTTTTTTGGGCACCAACACAATAACGCATATGAGACCCCTAAATGCCCAATCCCTTGTTCACAGCTATTATCATGATTTGCAACCAAAATCTAATAGCACGATCTAGACCAAAGAATAGAATGTAATCAACATACCCAGAATCTATGTGACACAGCCTCCGGAGAGCTTGAGGATGACGACCTTAAAGCAGATTCATCTGGGACTGGATCCAGAAAATTGGGATCATCAGCGCAGGTTGCATCAGATGAAAGCCGAAGCGCCAAAGCTAGCTGCAATTGATAACTCTCCTCCGTCTGCTGCGCCCAACTTTTTCCTGAAGACGACCCTGCTGGCCGCACCGTAGTTTCCGTCAACTTGGGTCTTAAGTCGGCCCCAACACCAGCCCCTGCACTAATCCTCACTCCGTCATCATGCATATACCCAAAGGCATCGATCTCATTCGCAGCTGCGGTAGATGGAGTCGGAGCATAATACTCCCCTGATAGCGAGCTTTCGCCAAAACTGCTCTCACTAGACTGCCTCTGCAACGCGATCGATGGGAACAAATTTCCGATCCGGTTCCCCTGCTGCGTCCCTCTATGATCAGTGCTCAAGTCCCAATCAAATCCTCTGTCCAACTTTCCTTTAATGTTCTTCCCATCCCCAGATGAAGAACCAAACAACGAAGAGGTCGCAACTGTCCCAGACGACACGGCTCCGCCACCGTAGTGATCATCAGGAATTTGGTTCAACAGTGTATAGTTGGATCTCCTACCGGGCATTTCCATAGGGCTTGTTACCATCCGTTGTTCACCAAACCCTACTAATGAGCGGGCTGCTCCCGAGCACAAGGTGAGGTGACTGCGTCCTTTCTCTTGTCGGAGAAAATTTGGGAACGCGGCGAGGATTTTTAATTCGGTGGCGCAATCGTAATATTCCTTTTTGTAATTAATCCTTTTAAATTAATAATTTATTAAGTATTAACTACAGTATTTGTAGTTTGTTTCCAGCAGTTCGGTAAATTTCCGGTCCGTGGGAAACCCATTTTTGGTTCACAGGCTGGGTCACCATCCGATCCCGCACCCCTCAGCCGGCCGCCTATCCTGTCCGTTCAATCCACGCGCGCTCGGACCTTGTGCAGACTTCAAACCACTCCACACCTTTGAACTAATGCCCCAAAAACGATACACAACATCATGCAAGCTAAGTCAATCTGGGACGGGAATCGTAATCATAAATCATAAAACATATCTCCCTCTTTAAATAATAAAACAAAACAACCCAAGGAATCACTGGGCCATCCCTGGCAGCGGCAAGATAAATTACTAAACAATACTCCTATTAGGTTAATTGGTGGATGATTTAATAATCACGATGGAGACAAGTGGGAACAGCTTTATCCAGGATTGGGGACTTGGATTTATGGAAACTTATTTTCAAACAGTTTCGTGCGAAGCGATAGATTTGGGTGAATTAAAAAATCAGGTGATCACGGAGATGTTCAATGTATCTGAAGCTGTCCCCGTGCGTCATCAATGTCAGAGTCTTTCTTTTCCTCATTAATCTATAATTAATTACATTATTAAATTCATATATTAGTATTATTTTAATGTCCCATATGACAGAACAGCCAAGAAAAGGCGAAAACGGTGAGCCCAGCTGTTACAAAACGTAGTTGTCAATTATGCGGCCCATTTTGCTTTGAATGGGGAGGGGCACGGTGGGCCTGTGACCCCGGTCACACCCATACTATTGATACCAATAAGCCCATGGACGGATCTTGTATCATGAATTGGGAGCAGTATTCCTCCAAAATTTATGTGTCACCATCAGTGTCCCCACTTCTGGAGAATAGTTTTAGCATGATTTTTCAAAGCAATAAATCTTATAAATAAAATAAAATACTACCTATGGTTCTAAATATAAGAACTAGTTGACTAATTTAAGAAAGTTAAGAAAATAAGTTAAGTTAGTTATTTGTAATAAATATATATTATCTTTCTTAAAATACCCTTACTAATTAAGTATATTGCCTAGAACCATGACTATTAGAAGGATTATTTTGAGAAAAAATGTATAAAGATGAAAAACAAAGTGGATTGGAGTTGTATATTTAGAATCAAAATAAAAGTTAAACGAGATATTAAGAACCAGATATAGTAAAATACAATGACTTGCATACCAAAGTCAACTCTGACCATATTTTATTTTTAATGTGTACTTGGTCGGCCAAAAAAATTTGTTGGCCTTATAATTTTCCTCTGAACTCTTCAAAATTTGTTCCAGGTGAAAGCTGTTTTAATTATTCTCAAGTTTTTTGCTTTTTTGATTTCTACTAAAGTGATATCATATTTGTTTTCTCAAGTAAAATACATTAAAAAAAAAAAGCACCAAATTGGTCAGAATACCTTAGTTGACTGGAAGCTTATGAAGTGAAGACCTCGTCCTCTAATAATTTCTCCCATTGAACACCCCTGAATAAGATGATGAACAGTGCTCTCACCAAAAATCACCTCCTCTGCCTTTCTAAAGATGACATGTCATTTGAAAAATGAAAAAGCAAATGGCCATTGTGAGAGGAGATGCCAATTTTATTAAACGAAAGACAAAATTACATCAAGAAATAGTATAGGGTGCTAGATCACCTCAAAAATAGTTTTTAATGCTAAGTGCATCTTTATTTTTTTTTTTTTTTTAACCTTTGGATATAAGAAAATGATGGTAAGATGATCCAAAAATGGATCCGTCCAGGTTAAAGCCCCAAAATTTTTTACTGAAAACAAAATTACCTGAGCAACGCTGAACATAAAACTCTTGGAGCAAAATTACATAGAAACATCATGCTTCACCTATATTTATGTTTCATTTTATTCCAACCTCACAATTCTGAATATTTATCTTCATACATTATACAATATTTTAAAATATATTGATACGATCAATTTTGTCATGAATCATGAATTAACGATTTGCCCAATTCAGTATTCAGCTCAATTTTGGTGACACTAGACAGAAAAGACACCAGGACAGAATTCTGAATCTTAACAATGTATTTGGCATAACATAAAACTAGCATGAATCAAAACCGCATTTCGCCGCTGAAACCAAACTGCCAGTAAGGAAAAAATATCTGCACAGACACAGACGGATGAAATACAACTGCCCATTACCCTTGGGATGTGTTTGGTTTTGGGATTCTGGGAGGAAGGAGAGGGCCCTGTTTCTTGTTTGGCTGATAAAAATGGAGCTCTCCAGTCTCCAGTGGGGAGAGAGTCTAAGGAAGAATCCTAATAGCTGGTTCTAATGAAGAGGTTGTTTCTTAATATAATCCTCCGCCACCTCTTATCATCATTCGATTCCGTCAAATTTCGGCCACATCAACGGAGAATTCGCCGCCTTTCTGCCGTGCATGCTTTCCACGCGCATGGTATCATCCTCTTCCTCGGTGACTTCGAAAAAGGCGGGTTGTAGCTGTTCGTCGCAAATCCCGGAGGTGAATCGATCAGAGCGCATGAACAGCATAAACCCGGATCACGTCGGGCTGGGTGTTGCACGGAGCTAGAAGTCACGTACGCGTCTTCATGCGAAGCATCTAATCGTCGAACTGATCGTCGAGCCCGATGACTTCCCAAATTGCGTGAGGGCAGATCTCTGCAAAATCACAAGATGTTGCGGTTGCCTCAGCCTTCGGTTCCACGGCTTCCGTCTCTCGTCGTCCATCAACGCAGTGAGGGTAATATCGACGGGCCGCAGTGACGCCAAAGTGCCAATGGTCAATGGAGAAGATCGAGCTTCTCTCATCGTCCAATTAGTAGTAGAGCCAACTATGGGCCGCAAAAGTGGGTCCTTCGGTGGTTCTAAATGGTCCTGCCTTGTATTCATAGTCAAGCCAGATTCATGGCGGTGTGCTTATTATAGTTACTGTAACTGAATTTGAAAGCGCTTAGGCGTTTTTACATTTTCATCTCATAGAACTCCCAAATCCCAAGGCAAATTGGCTCCCTCTGCCTTGGTCTGGTATGTTCTTGATGAATTTGTTCAGGATGGGAATTATTAATTGGGTTTTTTTCCCAGTGTAGCAACCATTGCAACGATGCTGTCAAGGCAAGGGTTGACATAAGATATAGCGGCTAGAGTGTAATCAGTGGAGAGGGATAGACGAATGGCTCTATGGAATGGGAAGTGAAGCCGTAGATTTATGAGGAAAAGTGACTGCAGCAAGGGCAACCCATGGCCATGGCAGATCGCGTGGGCTCTGTACTTAAAATGATAGGGTCTGGGTTTAAAAAATGAAGAAAAAATAAATTATTCTCCAGATGCTAATGCCAAAATTTGGAAACACTGCCAACTTCGCTAGACCAAGGAGAATCTCCAAATACAAAGTTACCGCAAGTCTGAATCCTAACGCTTCCTACTGCTGCTAATTACAAAAGATACAACGTAGCTGCTAATAACTGCACGTTGATTATAGGATAATAACTAATCATAAACTACCATAATAACTGCGAAGAATTACTAATAATTATGATAATAATGGTTATGGCATTAAGTTAATCACCCCTCGTCTCCCACTTCCTCGCTCATTGCTTCTGCCGCCTCTCAAATTTTCCCTTCAGTCCTGGTCCTCTCCTGCTGTACGTGATTGAAGATTCCTGGGGTGTATGGGAGACGTGGGACTCTCAATCTCCTCGATAATATCACAGTTCGGGGCAATATCATCGCATTTCATTTGGGAGGAATATGGATTCAACGAAAACTAGTTGAAAGGTGTCTCTCTCCAATGAGCTGTAGCTAGTGGACTGGATATGCTTTGCCGTGTCTGGAAGCAGTCCTAAATCTTTAGCCCTTGCCCCAGATATCCATTCCATTTCATGTACCCATTTTCCGCGCAAGATGCTGGAATCCTATATTAATAATTATCATGGTTCATATTACAATCTCGGTCCTAGTCTGGAAAATTTCTCAATCTTTGTGCTTGAAGACAAAAGCATGACATAAATTATCAATAACTTGGTTACTATGCACGTGTCTATGCCATGTAGTATGAGATGACAAAATCTGCCTTGGTCTTTTGCATCCCTTTCATCTGAAGCTTCTTTACTTGTGGCTGTTAGAATGAAGTTGTGGTTTTGGTTTCAATCCTTGTGAGTTTGTCAACCTCTACGTAGCGCTGGACTTTTCTTTGCTCCTGGCCAACTTGCTAGCTGGAAAATGTAGTCTAGCCATCAGGGGACGTGGTGCTCGTGTTTCCCGCTCAAATCCCCGCACACAGACATATCCTGCAAAGCAATAACACCATCTGTTTAGATAGGCTGGGTTTCCACATAAAGCTTATCCAGACAACTCACCTGTTACCACTTTGTAATCTGTTTTTTCTACTAGGGAAAGCTGGTTCTTTATCACTTCTTTAGTTGCTTTCCTTCTCTTTCTTATATGAGGAACCCATTAAGAGAAGGAAAAAATTGCTTCCTACATTTAATATAATGATTTGGATTTATTAGTGCCGACCGTCTTCTTAGTTTACGAATGCATCAACATCTATGCACAAGTAAGATCTATGTTTCATATGCGTCCGGTCTGCAAAGAAAATGACGCAAGATGAAAGTTTTGATGACAAACTACAGTGACTTGTGCATTTTTCTTATCGAACCAAGCAAAATGCATATAAGACATTATAGATCCGATTCTTACAGATTTAGGTGCATTTTTTTGTTTTGGGTTTTTTTTTGGGGGGGGGGGGGGGATTGATCCTGCCCACAATGCACAGGACCTCCCTAGAGACAGTGCACATGAAAGAATCCTCATGCTCGCTACCAAAGTTTTTAGTTAGTTCTTATTTCGTATGTTTCTCAATCATATGCAGGGGCAAAAGCAATTAAAGTTGAGATCAACTTGCACTGAACTATTTCTCCATCATTAGAAGCATACGATTTTTCTGCCTTGATAATTTGCTCAATCATTACCTTTTTTCAGTAAGTCCTTTTTTCAATTGTGCGGCTTCATTGTGATTCCTGAACGGTTCTCTTTTCCTTCTGTTTTCATGCTCCCACCTGAATATCTATAATATGTCCGTGTGGTTCTCCAGTTATTATGCTTTTTGGCACCTTACTGAAGTGGGTTGAGGCCTTTTACGATTGAATAGTTCAGTTAGGCTTGCTTGTGAAAATACTTACTGGTCGTGGGTGATGCCTTTCATCTTGTTTGTTTAGCTGTTACTTTTCTCTTGCCATGGAAGAAATTTAGATATCAATTATTATTATTATTATTTTTGCCATCTAGATATCAATTAATTGAGTGTTTAGCAATAGGCCACAAATTTTTTCCGTCCAATACATCACCTAATGATCAGGTAGGTCCAGCGGAGAACTTGTCTCCAACAGTTGGGCTCTTGTTGTTTGACTTGGCAATGACCATGTCAAAGCCTCTTTTACTTGTTTTCTTCTCTTCTACTTGTGTAATTATCAGTCCACTAAATGCTAACACGAGAGTCATAGATGAGAGACATCACATTATGGTGGCATCTACAATGTCTCTACATTCTAGGAGACTAAGTCGCCCTAGTGTTTTATCCTTCGGTGATTGGCCCCTTACTGTATTAAAAAAAAAATTGCAAACTAGTTACGTTTTTTTAGTTTTTATACCAAAGCAGGATAAAATCTGAGGACTAATTCTTACCTCTCCAAAAGCATTGCTGAATTTCTTGTGTTGATAAACCTGGTTGACAAAGAGCGCGTGATCAATTCCATTATGTAATAGATAGTGATTCTCAAGTTATTGGAAAATGATGATTGAGAAGCCTTTACCTTTAAATATTGATGGAATGGATGTTCCAAAATAAACTGTTCGCCTATTAAGATTCCAAATCAAACTTCGGGGAACATTAATTGGGTCTAGACTTGAGACATGGTCAGCAAATACCTGCGTTAAATGATATGTTTAGTTCTGCTTAATATTAGAAGATAAAAAATATAAAAAGCCGAAGAAATTTGAAGTATGAGATCTCACACCACTATACCTCATTGACTTGAAAATAGGTGCCATTTAGTGGAAAGCTTCCTCGCATGGCTGTTCGACATGGTATCTGTCAATAATTAATCATAAATTCAGGTCAGCAAATCAAAGTGCATAGAGATAATATATGGTTGACATCATAAATTTGATAAAGATCTGGACCAGGATTGTCCCTCGCACTATCTGTGAATTTGCTTCCCGAATACTGTTGCATGAGAAACATTCCATCTCATTACACAGTTGGCCATCTCCTAGGAAGCTGCATCTGCTTTCTGGTGGCTCTATAGAATTCGCTGTCTCACCTGATGCAAGCATTAATGCAAATCACAAAACATCAGAAAACTGAAATAAATTATATATCCGTGAACCTTCCCAACTTGTAAATGCTTCATGCTGAAGACACAGACCTAAAACCTATTAAACACACAAGGCATGGCAATCGAACTGCCATTTAGTCTACCTGGAGTCCATATGGCAAGAAGGTATTTGCATGGATCATCAGGTTCTCGCTTGTCCCACTGTATAAAAGGAGGAAAGAAATTAGATGTACATCATAAGATACAGAATTTGATAAGCAGAGGGAACAGTAACTAACCCCATCCAAAAGAGGATGCGAATCTGGGAGTTCATAACTGCAAGAAGGTGAACAAGGAACAGGCATATATTACTAAAACTTTTCACAATAACTAATGGTGGATTTGATGTCTGCTGAAATTTATATTAGCTACTTAAACTTCTATAGATGCCAGATTTCTATTATCATTTTTTCTGGGAAATTCAGCTCATCTCTGTGGTTCTGGATAAACGCAAGTCTTACAATGACTGAAAAGCTCTTGTTTGGAAGCGGAAATTCCTTTCTTATCCCCACATTTCCCTGGTTTTATTGTTCTAATATTACTTCTTTCATCCCATGTTCATAGTTGAATTTAGTTATTTCACTTGCATTTTTACTAAAACGAAGGGAGGGGGACTTACACATGGTGCTCTGTTCGCAGTCGGCTCACATTCTTTAGCTTGGGTGTAGGAAGAGAAGCAACTTCTGGAGTCAAAGCAACCAAGGCCTTTGACATTCCTTCTTGAAGTTCCCTGTTTTCTTGCATATAATTTTGCAGATTAAGAGTGAACTCTTCGATGTTAAGTTTGATTGTAGGAATTTCACAAGTATCTTCATAGAATGCATCCTCTATATCATTTTCTAATGTTGGTGCGCATTCTGTTTCCGGTGTCGCTGGTTCTTCAATGATGGGTTCACAGGTTACTATTCCAGATTTTGGCTCCAGTTGCTTTTGTTCATTTTCTTCAGCTGGAATTGTGCTTTCAGGGAGAGGCAAAGGTGACTGACCAACGATCACAGATGGGTTTTGATCAGACCTCAATGGGTTTTGATCAGACCCATTGTTTCCATATGTGCTGACTATACTTTTCTGCCCTGGCCCTGGCAGGGCAAGCCTTGCACTGCATCAATATTTATCTGTAAATTGATTTATCACGACTACACACATGCAAGACATCATACTTTCAGGGTGATTTTCAATGCATTACTGGTCCCTGTATCGTGAATAGCATCTGCAGTTCTTTTTGAAGTATGTGAAAGGAAAGTGGATGGCAATCATGCAATGTAATGCATTCATTAATCATAAATCATATAAAAATTCATATAATATCAAAATACCTTGCAAATGCACTCGCAAAGTGTCTACATTCTCCTCTCATTGGACATGCGTTGCAATTCGGTTTGCTTTTTGTACAAAAGACCTGCATTGATTTTGGTATTTACCCCAATCATAAGCCACAACTGAGTATGATTAGTCTCTAATGTAAAAATATAGAATAGAAGTACGTTACCTTCCCAAACGTAATCATCTGGTAATGCAGCTCATACCTGTAATATAATGCAGAATACAACTGATCAATAGATCATTTGCATGCAACTTACAGAGTTTATAAAAATACTTGTATCCATTCATTTACAAATGTAAATTGGAAAGAATTCTTTACAATGTTCTTTGATCTAGCTTGCAAAGTCGGGGCCAGAGATATTTTTGTATAGATTCCAACACTGGGTACCTGTATCAGAACACATATTAGCAGATCTTATCTGATTTTATGGGTTTAGAACAGTATATGATACTCACAATTCAAGTAGATGCAACTGCAATGACTCTGGCAGTGGCTGGAGGGGTACCCATCCCAGCCTTACTGCTATACGCCCAACATTTGTGTCCACCTATTATATACTAATAAATTATCAGAGAGTTCAATTTTATACCATCCTGTATTCGCATAAATGGTTTCCAACTTACTGGGAAGGCAAGATGATGCAGTGTCAAGAGTCGTACGCATTCTACGCTTTTCAACCCCAACCCTCTTATGCTTAGCAAGTATTCTCTGCACGCATGAATTAGATCCTCAATAAATATGACACAAATTGACTAGTGCTTGGGTGGCATGGGTAGAGTGTGCATGCCAATGCAAATAGCTAGTGAATTGAGAGTTGGAGGTTTTTTCAGCATTAAAGTATCAGTATGTGCTAACAACATTTGTATGGGAATTAGAATATCATTTAAACAGTTGAATTGACCTCCTAAACTTACTTTGCTTTATCAGGCGGAACATCCCTTAACCACTCAAGATCAATGCTTCCATGTTCTTCAACCAGTCGATTTAGGAAATCCTGCATAGTATATCATGTAAAATTTGCTTTGCAGGGCTTTTATTTCCATGAAATGCATTGATAACTAAATTCCATGTAAGTTCTGTTGTACCTTTATACGCCCAGCAAGCATATTGTTCATTCCTCGTTCTTTAATGGCATCAGCAATTTCATTCACATTTGCACATCTCACAGCATCCCAGTCTAAAGAATCCATGGTATCTGCTGTCTTTTCTCTTTTCCCTTCCTGGAGTTGTGCCTGTACCCGTAAATTATCCCAGTCCACCTGTTTCTTTTTATCCTTTCCAGGCTTCTTGCCCTTTGGTTTTATTGGGGCAGCATTTATCTCTGTGTTTTCATTCATCACAACACAGTTTTGGTCTCCAGTATTTGACTCTGCTGCTTTCTCCGCAAGATCCTGAGTCTCTGCGAAATTGTGCAAAAAGATTTGCTGCATTACATTACTTTGTTTGGGAAGGTGATGGTGAGATGGCATGCTTTCAGATTGAGAAATTGCAGCTTGGTTCTCGGACTCTCTTGCTTGTAAACTTGATCTGTTCGTATTCTTCTCATATTTATCATTTGAGAAGCCACGTGATGGTGCTTCCATTTTTAAAGAATCAAAGCTGTGACGTTCAAGTATTCCTGAGTTGGTGTTGAGATTCAAAGTATACTCAGTCAAAGGGGTCATGGATTCCTCCAATGAGGCTTGAATAACATCTGATTTTTCCAAGTCTTCTGATTGTTTGTCATGCTCCATACCACTAGATAAGTCAAATGCCACCTTAAGGTTCTCAGATGACTTGGTTCTCAGGCTGTTAACTTCATATAACTTGGTTGAAGTTGCCATTTCTAAAAGCTTGCTGAAACAAGTCTTGGTGTCCATAATATTGTGCTTGGCTATGCTTGATAGGTCCTCTGCTTCTGAGTTGCTATCTGAGCATGACCCTAATTTCTCAGAATTTTGATCAACTGAAAATCCTCCTGATATTTGAGATGAGATGGCAGAGCATTGCGTAGAAACTACGTCAGCTAACTCTCTCTGAGTCTCCCCATAACGTGGTTTTTCCTGCCTTGCCTGGGTGATGATGGTACCAATGGGTTTGCTCATTGAACTGAGGTGTTCCCCAGTGTTGCCTTCATTTGATTTCAACAGTATACAGTTTGATTCATCTGCTAAGCTGGTAGTTTCTGGGGAATCATTGCTGTTGAGTGCTATTTTTCCTTCAGAATGCTCAGTGATGTCTTTTGTCATAGAACTCTGGCAACAAACTGGTTCACTTAAGATCTTGTCATCCCATTCTGTATTGTCCTCTGATTCAATGATGAGGGCTTGTGGTTTGTTGTTAAACAAGCTTGTGCCTTCCTCATGGTGTATTTTGCATTCATTGCTTGCTTTTAGAGGAAATCGAGCAGCAAGTGACATGAATGCAGAACTGTCAACAAAGAAAATTTCAACAAATTACATTGCCATGACATCTCTCTGGTTTATAAATGTCCCATTTCTTAAACTTAAAGTAATACCTGGAAAGATGGTCTGAAACATTTTGAGTTAGGAAAACTCCAATGACAGAATCCACAACTGATCCTTTCCATTGAGAAAAGCGCCTATCACCTGTTGAATTTGCTTTATATCAATACAAGCGATATGTGACCAAAGCCAATAAGTGCAAGGAGAAGTGAGCTTTTTAATAACTAAATTTTCTCAAGGCCGCAATAATGGTGCTTGGAGATGATTCTTCCAAATCTGGCATGGTGGTGTTTTAACATTTTTGCTTGTCTTGAAATCAGATCTTCAAAGTATGAATTTGAAGATGTTGTTATTTCTTTGTAAGCAGAAATTACAAAAGGGATATCAATATATTAAATTTTATTTTTTCAGTACCTGGAATGTGGTTATCAAAATTAACCTGCAGTCAGGACAATAACATCAACTGTTCAAGAAATTTTATATGATATATTGCTTATAGCATTATTGGAAGTCTATATGCAAAGGAGTGTCTTTGTCTTGGTGTTCATGTATAGGTCCTTACATTTCTTTAACGTATTTGTGGTCAAATACTTTCTTCCGAGTGTTACCCCTAACACAAGACTAGGCATTTTAAATGATTTCACCGTCATGGTGACACCTATTTTTTCTTTCAGTTGTACAAGAGTAGGATTCTTGCCTCTAAGGGGCTTTTTGGTGTTTTTATTCTTATGCAGGAAAAAAACATAAATGCAGTTGTCATCTTCCTAAACCAGTGTTTTTCTTATTTAGTTGATTTTCTCACTTCTTCGCCTTGAGCATGAGATGCAGGTGATGTGTTGTTAGATATGCATGTCAAAGATGAATAATTTCATATTCTTGTGAGCATTGCAATGATACCTTGTACAAGACGCATGCGGGCGATAAACGAGTCTGCTCGTCCACGGAATACTCTACGTTCTTCTTCCCACCATTTGGCCTTTTCTTCATCTGTTCCATCAATCCCATGACTATTTATATCTAACATCAAAAGCTTCCAAACTTTATCAGTCTCCTCATCCAGATCAACTTTAGGTCGTGGTAATCGTTTTCTGATGGGATCAAATGACCCCTCGTAGGGAACCATGGCACCATCTCCTTGGTTGATCTTGTCCCTTCGATTTTTCTGTTTGTACGGGACTAGGGCCTTTTGCTCATGAGATGAAGTCTCTCTGGCATTTATATCTAGGTGTCTGAATTTCTCTGTTAATGCATCCATTATCAGATTGTTATTCCATGGCTTTTCATGAGCAGCATCTGCACCAACAGCTTATGGATATAAGGAAAACTTGAGTTAATTGTTTTTTTTTTTCCCCTTTGACAACTATAATATAATTGAATAAAGAAATAAGATTTAGATGAAATACCTAATGACATGGTCCGTGGTGGCTGATAACCATTCAACAGAAAGTCATGATGCATTTGATTTGTGCTAGCAAATGTTGGAATGACAAGTTTTTTTCTGTTTTCCCTCGTTGTTCGTTTTTTCTTGAGAGATGCGTGCATCTTCTCTGCAACCAAAATATCAATACTTGTAACTGGTCTTTCTCCATCCGCAAGTGTTTGCATGTCAGAATTGCTTAGTTGTCTTGTGAATTGATTTGGCAGGATGTTACAGTTTCCAGTAGTGGTTGGTATAGCATAATCACGAAATCTAGTTGGGGTTTTGGATCTTCGCTTAGTTGGCCGTGTCTGACTGAAAGATATGAAGCTTTCAAATGCATGAGATCGGTCAAGAGTAGCTCTATCTGTAGCTTCCAATGTGACTGGGTTTTTAACTGCATTATATTCGCAAGAAAACAAGCACTTGGAACTTGATGCATAAAGATCATGAGGATATGTCGCAAACCATAGATCCTTTGTGGGACTCAAAGATGTGCCTGATGTATTATTAGACGTTGATACCTTCTCACTTCTCCTTCTCTTCTGAACATCAGGAAATTGAATGCAGCTCCTCTGGTATGCATGCAATTCATTATAATGCATCCCAATCAGATTCATGTGGCTGATATCTGCGTGGTCAGTGATAGTGGGGTGTTTTCTATTGGTACCACCCATATGTAATCCAGCGGTCAGAATTCCAGTCCTACTGCTGTCAGAATTATTTTGTCTTGATTGTGTTTCAGATTTTTCATGTCCATTCTGAGCAGTCATCACCACGCCTTTTCTTTTGCGGTTCTTTGCAGAGTGGGCATTTGGCCTAGCCCCAGGAGTATTGATGTTAGAGAGAGATGTACTTGGGACTGTATCTGTTTCTTCCAATACACCTATCCCTTTGCCAATATGCAGGGTCACATTTTCTGTGGGCACGGTGGTTTCATCTCCTGGTTGCTCAGTTAACTCAAAATTTAAGGACCTTCTGCAAGACTTTTTAGTAGATCCTGACATAACAGCCTCAGTTGATTCTCCCGTTACTTCTGTTGGTGGAGTTGCAGAAGCCTTGTTTAGTCCTTTCTTTCTCACGTACTTCCTCTTGGGAGGTGGGTTTTCTTTTGGCGTAGCAGGCTTTGGGGTAACTGGCTTTCGGGCACTCTTTGGTTTGCCTTCCTTGATGACCTTGGGACGGTGTTTTTTCCTCCTTTGTTTTGGTGTTGGAGTTTGATTCAGATCAATAACATGGCTGCCTCCCTTGTCAGGGTTGTGATTCTCCTTCAATGGCGTAGAAACAGCAGCCAATGATGATTCCGTGACAGCTTCAGAGAGTTCTCGGTTGTGTGGTGTTTCACCGTTAGTGGTTGGGATATTTTTCTCCAATTCCACACTAATCTGCATTCCTACAACTTGTCTGCTTTCTCCTCTAATTGCTTTGTCTGGCGTGGGAGGTGCTAAGGGTGAAATGGCTTTCCCACAGCAACCAAAGTATGTGCTTGTCTGAGATGCAATCGGTGGAGTGCCTGTATGGCCTAAAGGGAAAAAAAAAAAAAAAATTCATGTGAATGTCATAGAGAATTCACTAAGAAAAAAGAGGGATGCCACTTAGTACATGCTATCAGTTTGATCAAATATTTTGACAGGGGTCTACTATATGCAAGTTATTATAGCAGAATAGTTGTTTCTTCGAATAAAAAACTTCTTATTGCGCGAAGGTTGGCTTTTCGGTTGAGATGTTCTGAAGTCGAAATAAAAATTGTAAGTATGTAGAAAAATGCCAGGCGGTGCTATTGGATGTCTCATTGAGGTACTGCAGCTGCTTCGCACTGCTCTGTTCCTTCTCAAAATGAACTTCTGTAGTTTTTTTTTTTTTTTTTTTTGGTAAAACTTTAGTTTCAGCTCCATGAATCCGCAATGGTTACATCCCAATATAAGAGTTTTTTTCCCCCTTCACTGCAAATTGGAATGCCAATAAACTCGAATAAAGGAGAGGAGAAAAACCAGCTTTTGCTAAATATTCACTTACCTTGGGGTTCTTGGGGAATGTAATTGACGGTATTGACCGGGATTTGCTCAAGAGAGACATTATGGTGGGTCGGTGATACACTGGGGAGGTTCGGCAGAGGGTCGCTTTGTGAGTTGGAATCGGGGAAGAGTGGGCTCTTCCCTTCATTGTTAGCGCCGGGATGGATCACTTTGAAGTGTAGAGATGCAGCATCTGCCAGAGCCAAGAGATCGACAAAGCCCACACCTTCCAAGCTTGAAACAGCTCCAGCGGCGGGCTTTGCCCAAGTTCCAGCACTGTCATTCCCAATGCTCGTTACTGCACAAGTAGATTCTACCCGGTCCTGCATCTTCATGTTTAATCCTGCACCAGACGATGACTGACCACATGCAACTACACTATCAGCATAATTTGCGTGAGGTGAAGCATATGAACTGGTCTTCAAGAAATTTGTTTGGCTCAGCTGATTTCCCTCCCCATCAGCACAGATCGGCTCTGTTCTGGGAATACTAGGCTTCAGAGGCGTGGTGGGGATCCAGGAAACCTCTTTTCTGCTTGATTCTCCCACCTCCATTAACTCGTCACTTTGGCTCTTAACTGCTCCAGGTAAAAAAAAATGTCGACAGGAATAAAATTGCCGGGTGTGATTGCTCCAGATGCTCAGCGAAGCTCCAAATTTCACTGCTTTGGTCCAATCTTGATGTTTTCTTCCGTGAAAGACACGCCGATTGTCAGGTCCATTTTAAGGGATGAACCTGCAAGTGGAAAATAGGAGAAATCTGAGAAGCCCGTGTCAATAATCTGTGAGAAATTGTGGTTTGATGAGATGGGAAATTCAGAACAGAAGAGAAGTGGAAATGTCGCTGAGGGTGAAAGCATCTAGGGGTGGGTTTCTGATTCACCTTCCCACAGTAACCGGTGACTGACACAGATAGTAAACAGAAGCGGAGACTGAAGAGGAAGGATTTATGTCATTAAATTATCAATTAATTTGGAAAGCAGTTTGTATGGAAGGGCATGAAACCATAAACAAAATCTGATTCTCTGCAAAACCTACGCTTCTTCCATGCGCTAAATCAAAACCACAATAAAACAGAATACCTGAGAAATTCAAGGGGGAGTTAGTTACTGTAGATTCTGAGTCAATGCCGGAGATCAGCCTTCACATATCCAACAGAACTTTGGAGCAAAAAGGAAAAACAAATTCTTTCTCGAAGTGAGAGAACTGGGGAGGAAAGCAAACGTTGAGCTGATATGGCCTTTTATATCGCATTCGGAGTTGGGCGGAATTATTTATTATTCATTTCCAGAAAGTACATCCTACTTTCATTTTTCCATCTATACAATCTCTGTTGGAGCAGCACGATATCATATTAAAAATAACAAACACATGATTGATATGTCATAGGATCAAAATTAATAATAAAATAAGTATATTTTTCATCAATAATATTTTTAATCTCTTTTTACATGCATATATAATTAGCAGTGCGATATACTATACGTGCGTATATTTTAATTTAAAATATTTATCACCAGATTTGTTAGAATAATTATTAATATAATACTAAATTAAAAATTCTCAATAAGAGATAATTAAAACGTGTACAAGTGTGGGTCTGCGCTTGTTGATTGATACTCATTTTATTTTTACGAAATCGCCTGAAAGACAATTGGGTGAAGGGGGGAAATTAAAGGATGAGCGGAAGCACATACAATAGAAAAATGGTTCCGAATGAAAAGAAAACCTGAACATGCGAACCTGCGAAGAAATAAGGGAAGAGGTGAAAGGGCATATTTGTAAAACCGCAATGGTCAAAACTACTGGTGCGTGAAACGTCGATGGAGGAAAGAAACACGTGACCGAAGTGAGTCCAGCATCGGATAATGTGGCAGTATGAGTTTCGCTGTAGGCACGAGAGCTCTAGCTGAAAAGTCCATTTTGGGCTTCCTTTGACGTCATCTTTACGCCGTTACCGTTTGCGGGCGTCAGTCGGTCGGTGTGCCTCCCTCTCATTCTCGCTGCTTCCATTGTACTGGTTTGCGGCCATGCTACGTATTTCTAATTCCTACAAATTCCTTGTTGCCCATTTTTGGGAGAAAATTTATGTTGCGTTTTCCGTATACAAAGTACCATTTTTATTCTAAACGTAGTTTTGATTCTAAATATAAGTTATTTATAACATATTTAATATTTATTTTTTAATTTTATTCTTATTTAATTTTATTTAAAAAAAAGAGATATGAGAATAATTTGTTAATGTAAAGAGAAAAAAACTTTGACAAGAGTAAAATTAAAAAAATTATTAATTATTTAATATATTTCTTAGTATGCAATAGTATGTTACAAGTAATTTATATTAAGAATTATAGTAGTATTACTTTAATTCTTTTATTTAAAACTCAGTTGAAAAAATAAAAATTATCTGGAAAAAAGATCACCTGGTCATATTTGTTTGAGTTGCATGATTTATAAATTATGTATTATATATATTGATTCAAAACAATGATATACGATCATATATAGAAGCTTTTTATACTATGGTTTATTATTACGAACTACTAGGATTTATTTCTCATTATTTATGATTTATCAATTTTATTCATTATCAATAGCGAGTTAGTTATCCTCTCTTCACCAACATACTAGCATTTTATCAAGCTTGATGGTGGATGCTCCCTACAGCTCATAAAATATTTAAGTTAAATTTTATCTAATGCTTTAGCATCATGCTATTTTTTAATATCCTCGCAATCATTTTTTATAAAACTCACTGTATGATGTTTGTGCAGTGGCCTTTTGCTTTTACTTTTTATCATACGACGCATTTTGTAAAAAGGAGAGCATGATCCTTTTCTATACTATAAGTATAATATTATTTAATTTTAATTCTATAAAGTATGAATTAGAAGAATAATAAATACTCTAAATGTTACTAAATATATATATGACTTATGCTTTATGATAAGAACAAAGTTCAGGGAAAAAAAGATCTTGAGATCGGGGGAATATAGTTCCTGCGTTGAATTAAAAACAAAACAAAAATTAGATATGATAATGAAACGAGGAAATAAAAAAAAAAATCATATATGGACAAAATCACTATTCATGAGGGGGTTATCTTTATTGAAGTCTGGGATAGGGTCACCACCATGTCGACTTCCAGGAAATTGATGCTCACTTTTTCTATTGGAAGGTGCGAACGGGAGAGGACAATTAGTTACTTAAAAAAAAATGAATTGTTACTATTTTAAATTAATTATATTTTTTAAGACTATTTTTATTTAAACTTTTTTGTATTTTTTATTTCCTTACAATGTAATTCATAATTTTAAATGAGTATATTTACAATTTTTTTTAATACATTTAATGATTTAATCGCCTCTGATTAATTTTCTAAGGTAGTAAGATGTGACTCTCTTAATAAAGAAATAAATGAAGTCTTCTTTTTACGCTCACAATCAGAAATGAATGCTCCTTTCATTACATGCACTTGTAAATGATTAAGTAAATATAGGATAAATGTAATTAATTTTGGATTACAAAAAGTAGTTACTTTTGTTCCATACAAATATACAACAAATGACCAGAATAAAGTGACTTCTTAATTAGAAACAAGTCAATGACACAATATAATTAAAATCATAAATTTAAATCTTTAATAAATGAGAAGAAGACGAGATAACAAAAAACATAACACCGCTCCATGACCCTGTATTTTTATATATTTAAGATCAAAAGAAAATATTTTACTGTCTCTAATCTTAAATATAGAATTTACTTGGTAGTTTTAAATTTAAGATCAAAGATAATATTCAAACATAAGAACAGGTGGCCTTCATACACTACAAAATAAATTCTACCTTCAAAACTAGAGGTAGTATTAAGAAATAAAAATAGATGACCTGCCATTTCTAAATATTTAATTCAATGAACTTTTTGAGAGAAATGGACCCCACACTAAATTATCATCCTTTCAACACGTGAAGTAGATTTTCTCTCTCTCATTTTAGTTATTTCAGTTAAATTCGTTAAACTGACATGTAAAGACAAACAACTTCGTCAACTCGAGATTTAGTGCTTGTTTGGTTTTTTTTTTAAAATAAAACACTATAAGATAAAATTTTTTATATATATTTATCTCGTAAAATATAAAATTACTTAAAACAAATTAAAATTGATAAACATTTTTTTGCCATCAATAAACACAATATTGTTACTTTTAATATTTTGCATGCTAAATACTATTTATACCATCTTCCTATAAAGTACATCCAAATGATGCTAGCCAGTAAAGCTATAATAAATCGGTTGTTTTAATTTCAAAATATATGTGTTGATATATATTACTTGTTTCTAAATACTATTGAATTTTAAAATTAGAAATATGAGTTGAGCTTCACTTTAATTCATTCTATTGAATCAAGAACGTGGCGACACGGATCAATTCCCATTCATTACTAGTGTTAGGGGAGCCGAGAAGCCAACCAATGTGTGAGTATATTTATCCAAGGTATTGAAAATCAAACCAGTCAAGACAGTGGATCAAGAGTCAGTGATTCAGATCAAAATCAACTTGGAATCAAATCAGTAATAAAAAAAATATAATTTAAATAAAATGAACAAAAAGCATTCATATTTGACTATTAAAAAACTCATTTTAACTAATGCATTAATTATTAATAAATGAAGTTGTTCAAAATTGTTAGATACGTTGATAAATTATAATTATATATATTTATCATCCTCACCTAATCTTTTTAGTGATGAGTTGTCGTCAATTGAACTTAATTAAACCATTTTTAATTTTATTGGCTACTTTATATTTTGTGAGAATTAACTGGTTGAATCTTAAACATTTATGATTAAATCTTTTTAGTGATGAATTGTCGTTAATTGAACTTAATTAAACTATTTTTAATTTTATTAGCCACTTTATATTTTGTGAGAATTAATTGGTTGAATCTTAGACATTTATGATTAAATATTGTACTTCAAATTTTTAGACACATCACTATTGAATACTCCTCCGATCCTTAATATAAGACCCATTTAACTAATTTGATTAGATTAAGGAAGTTAGGTAAGTTAGTTAATTATAAGAAAAGTGACACATTTTTCCTAAAATACCATAATCATCTTTCTTAATACCCTCTCTCCCTCTTCTACTTGATTATGGTTGAGGGAGTATCCATAGGGGTAATTTAGAGAAAAATGATAAATATGAAAAATGGGTCTTATATTTAGGACCAAAACCAACTCAAAAATTGGGTCCTATATTAAGGACCGGAGGAGTATTATTTTATTTTGTGCAAATTTTTAGGGTTTAATTGAAAACTAATGTTATAGATGAACTGGATTCAAGGGGATCAATTTTTATGATCTTAAACTTTGTTTCTCTTGGGTAAGTTAATGTAAATAAGAATTAGGGAGTTTAAGGATAGTTTTGTTATTTTAGTATTCAATTTAATACTAGGTTTTTTTTTTGGAGGTGGTGGGGCCCACTTTTAGCAATTAGAATCCGAAAGTGACGGAACTAGCGGTAGGCTAGAGGCTGCGGCTGAAGCAAAAAAAAAAGCTAAAATCAAAATGTACAGGAACAAGGTTGCAGACAAGTGTGAAGCAGAGGAATACAGGAGCACGCCCCTGATCTTTTCCTCTCCTCACAAGCCGTTGTTTCTATAGATCCTAGTCTCACAAATCATCGTCTCTCACTCTTTGACTTCTATAAGCTGCTAATGCTTTCATCGTTACTCTCAATTTTTCAATCGCACTCTCTCTGACGGTCATACTCGCCATGAGTTCCTTGCTAAAGCTTCTGTTGAAGGGTTCATGGAATAATTTTCAGGTAATTGCAGCTTGTAGCCTTTAGTTTTTACCCCTATCAATTGTTTCCCCTTTCTTCTTTTTCCCTACTCCATCATCATCTCCAGAGCTGTAAAACCAAGCGAGACTTCTTCCTCCACTCCGTTTGAAAGCAGGCTCTTTGGTGGATGAAAATGATAACCCGATAAACCGCCTAACTCAACGGTTTAGCCAGGTTATGGCCGTTTTGTGCTAAGTTAAGCCAGTTTGTACCGGGTTATAGGTCATCCGATTTAGACAAATGACTAGATTGGAGAAATGACCGATTTGCCGGTTTCCAGTTTAAACTAGCTGGTCCAGGTTTGTTTTTCAATTCCATGTATTTATCCCGGAGTATTATTTCTGGGTACCTACCCCAT